TATAGTCTTAGAATTTATAGTATATATACAGGGAGATTTTTTTACTTTAAATAAATAAAAAACAAAAACAAAAACTATATTTTTATTTTATTGTTATAATTTAACATACATGTTATGTTTTTGAGTACAATTCTTTTCTTTAAAACCGATTTTCAAGAAGCCGATTTGATTTTCTTTACTCATTGTTTATTGCCATCGCAAATCAACAATGCATAAAACCATAGTAGCTACTCAATATTTTTCTCTACAAAAAAAGTCTATGTGTCATAAATATGTTTTTGTTAATAAATAACTATGACAACGAAAACCTCACGAAAAATCGTTCAAAAACAAAAAACATCTATCCAGCCCAAAAACATATTTTTGTTAAAAAATGTAATTAAATAAATTCCTAACAAAATGCAGCATGCTACTAGATATTTTTCCACTGTACTATATCTAAAAACCTATCTATGATTCCTCAATTTTCCTTGTAGAGAAAAATATCTAATAGCATTATTAATATATATGGATTAAAAACGACATTTTCTTTAAAGTTTTTAATTTTTTGGAAAATTCCATACATTTTAACATTTCTTTTTTCAAATCAGAATATTTGGTCTGTGAATTTGTATTCATATAAGCCAAATTATGAAAGAATGGTTCAATAGTATCAATGATCAGAGTAGTGGACCAACTTTGTTTAAAGTGCCTAACTTCTGTGCTACTCTACATCACTCTAAATAACTAAACATTAAACATTTAAATAAGTTATACATTTTAACTAATTAAATACTCAATTGAAATTAAATTTGTATTAACGTTTTTAGACAAATATTTTTCTTCACGATATGAAATTGAAAATGTATATTGGTATATAAGTCAAAAATATAATTTTTTTTTCAAAAATGTTGTGTTATAAATTCTAATTATGTAAAACAAAAATATCGGAAAAAATTGCTATTAAAACAATCAATCAGTGGCCAGTATATATTGTTATTATACACAAGTTTTTATATTTTCATTGAAGCAACCACAGCAAAGGTTATCATATACAATAGTCGTGTTAACGCATACTATACAGTTTGACATATGTACTTATAATGTATATACATCACTCATCAATCTATAAATAAATGTAATTTTATTGTTATTGGTATTCGGTGGTCAACGGTATGAAACATGTCAGACGTATATTAGTACCTATACCAATATATTATTATAATATTGTGTATTGTGTGTAGCATACATCATATTATAAGTACCTACGCCATACCTATATTCCCATTAGTCTTATACTAGTTGTATTACGAACTAGTCAATAATACTATACAATTAGAGAACATATATAGATACACGTTTTGTTACCTACGGATGTATTGACTATAGAGGACGTCAACACGCGCTCAACGTCCTCCGTGGAAAATTCCATTTTCACCACCACAATAAATTATTGTAATGGTTGAATGTCGTGAACCTGTGTTATTGATACGACAACAATTGAATATAGGTAATGTAGTTTAAGTCTGTGTGTATGCGTGTTTGTTATGACTTATTATAATGCTAATTACTACAACTGTCTTTCACACGTGAAACGTAGTAAAATCAAGTTTGTAAAGATTTTACATATACTGAGTCATAAAAATAGATTGGACAACATATAGTTATTTTAGAGATAAATAACCTATCGTTACTTATTATTGGTTTTATAAATTAAATAAAAGGTATTTTTTAAAACATCTTACATAGCTTTTTCATAAAGGTACATAAGTACTAAATAAGTAAGTAGGTAAGTAGCAGGTAGGTTCCTACTTATACATTTTTGCAGTAACTCAGCAGTATAAGAAGTAACTTTTATGTTAGTAAATGTTCATTCATTTTTTAATAGATATTTTAATACTGTTTAATTAATCATTAACGATAGATCTTCATAAAAATGTTTTTTTTATATTTTATGTTTCCATATATGACAGACGGTAATAAACAGACAGAATTATTACGATTTTGTGGCGTACCTACTTAAATAATACTTATTATAATGATTATACAATTTATAGAAACAACCACAATACTACAATACTAATGACAGTAGTCTCATATTTTTTTTGTCTAATTATAGGTATAGCATAAATAATAATTATATATATTTAATATTAGATGTAGGTAGTAGGTATACCTATAATACTATACATATTACACATACCAAGTACCTACCTATTATAGCAGGTGAAAAACAGTACCTATATTATATTCGATTCGGACATTCCTACAACTTGCAATGACGTCAAATAATTGTTTGTTAGAATTTAAACATTTTCATTGAACAGAAAAATAATAATATATTAAAATATTATACAACAATATAAGCATTGGGTACTTATATCGCCGGACGTCAGCAAAAAATGAATAACAACTTTTATAACCAATGGGTATATAATTACTACACTGTGTATCAAAATTTAAAAATATAATAAACTGATTACTAGTGCGGTGAAATACATAAACCCTGTATGGGGGGGGGGGTCTATAACCAAAAAATAGGAATCTTAAACTATGCAAATAAAGCCCTGGTAAAAAAGAACAAAAAATTATAATTGTATAGGTGACCCTCGTGCACTCAAATTCAAAGACTAGCTAGCATACACACATATGACATATAAGTTAATGCAGTTATACATATACTAGATAATAGGTATAATGGTATTTAAGCTGTTATGATTTCAAGTGTTTCAACTATTATTTCATGATCATTGTGTCCTCATGAACTCAGCATATGCGAATAAAGAAAACTTAAATCTAACGACTAAACGAAGTGTGTCTATGCAGAACAAAGGAAAAATTATTTTAAAGTAAAGATGCTTATGATGAAAATATGTATAGAGGAGTAGAGGACAATATTTCGGATAAAAACCACGACAGGGGCCTTGTATTGACACACAAGCAGACATACAGCGGCATTTACCATTGAAGTTTTAAATTATATTACATTTTTTAATTTTCCTATAGATTCAGCGTTCAAAAAATTAAATTAAACAATTCATTTCAATAAATAATTTAGAAATTAAATATAAAACCGAACGTATGAAACACGGATGTCAGAATTTGATTGATAAATGATAATTGATACCTAAATAATAATGATAATAATTGTATGACAGCTCTTCTGAATAATTCATATACCTAGTAGTAGAGATTTGTTTGTGATTAGCGAGCTATAACGTGCTTATATTTTTGTATTAATTGTTTGTTGTTGATAAATAAAATCTATCAATAGTCAAATAGTCAATACTCGTTTGTCCTGCAAAATGCAAAATTAAAATGTCTCGGGGCGACAGACATGTAAATATAAGTCCTTGACTCATCGTACGTCATATATTTCAGTCGGTCGGATGGAAGAAAATTATATGGTTATTAGTTATTACTATTGCAATGGTTCGTGGAAACTATAAGTCTAAAACACAGGTCCAAAAATATTCTACGGTACACAATAAGACAAACTGTGTCAGTTTCACATGTAGAATGAACAACTTTAATTTTGGAAAAAATTAATTTTAATCAAATTAAATTGTCATTAAATGAATGCATTGTTGAGTTTTTTGTTTAGTCCGTGAAGAATGTTTAAAAATTTGGTAGACATGTCTACACACTTCTCACAGTCTTCATTGTTTCATAATATGTAAGAATACAATGTTTTTGTTATAACATAGTCAGTCGTAGTGTGTGAACACTGAACAGTCAAAAACACATGTCACTATAGTCCATCTCTCAAAAATACTGAGCACGCCAATATTTGTTAAAATAATGTATGAACATACATTTAGAAGTTTGGAACACACCTAAGTTATGAGGGCAGTCAGTACAGTCGTACAGATGTTTTAAGTAGGATAATACCATTTCTTTTGGAATGATTGATCAATACCTAATACAATTTTCGATTATACAGTTCAAATTTCAGTCTATGTGAATAAAAAATTATTACCCCGGCAAGAGAGACAAAAAAAAGAAGGAAACGTATGCATAACCTCTCAGATGTACAGTTGATCAACACCTAGTCAAGCGTACTTCGTAATTGAGTAAGTCAGTAAAGTATGTGTTGACTGTTGATTTTGAATTCAATGATAAAAGATAAGCCTATATTTTAGTAAATTAAGAATATTTTATGATATTCTATTAAAGCTATCTTACCAAACTTCGCCTGAGTTAAAATTACTCTATATCTTTCCATTATTTTTTTCTTTGTTTGAAATATATTATTATACAAACACAATATTACAAAGATTAATATTATTATTCTCCACTTTTTAATTCTGGACGTAAACGCAAAAAACGAATTCTTAAAAGTAGACTTAAATCCAATATTGTTTAGATTGGTACCTATTCGTCTTTATACGTATATATACATACAAATTATACCCATAATTAAGAAAGCAACTCACGATCGCAAATCATAAAAAACCAATTAGATACACTTCCCTGACAGAAAAGATATTGAGATTTAAAATTGAAGTAAAAAATGTTTTCAGACAGATACAAAAAATATACAATATACATTACACTATACACACACACACACACACACATCTCGTAAAATCAATGAGTTCATCACTTCACTCAGAATCTAAACATATTTTTTTTATGTATTTACTAAAATTTGGTCAACGCTATTTTTTGATGTAAGTACAAAATATCAACTAAGTATTTGCAAAAAAATTAAAACGATTACTTTTATAATCCTGTTACAAATACGATGGTGTTTGCCTCGTAGTATAATGTGTATAAATAACAATTATTCGATTATAATTGATAGAAATGAGAATGAAAAACTTTTTCACTGTTTGTAACAATTAATTAGTTGTATCACATGTATTAGACCATAATGTTTAATGTGTAACATTCCACATTTTTAACAAACAAGTATAATAAGTAATAATATTATTGTTATAAAAAATATATACTCCAACAATTTACGAAAATATTTTAATGTAATAATATTTGTTATTAGTTAGACTTATTTTATTTACCTTTTATTTACGATGATGCTGACAAAATATAGGAATAGAGATCGATACAATAACAGACGAGCAAACAAACACTTTTCAACACTGCTAAAACGTTTATGCACTACCCATAATCAACGGCGGTATGTAAAATGCCGTTTTATAGATAAAGCTATGACTTTATGTAGGTATTCAATAATCTTCGATCATATACCATCGTGTTGTACCAACTGTGGACTTTGAGCTGACAGAAAAAAAAACTATGTCACTATTAAATAGATTTTGCTTTTTATACACAATATTGATATTGTTATACAGATTATAAATTAAAATGTACATAGGTATTGATTATATGTGTAAAAAATGTAAGAAAATAACATATTATAGCCTTTAGGTACCTATAATGAACATTGAACAATAATACAAAAATCATATTTCAAGTAATTCATAATTATTAACACGTCATGCTTTTATTGTACCAAACGATCCATCATTATGGAGACAAATTCTCTCAATGTATAATAATGACAACTACCGTACCTATATAAAATATAAAAATAATAATAAATCGATATTATATAGATTTGTAGCTACTTATAGAGGACTAATAATAATTTTACATTTACTCAAAATAATAGTTAACGCATTTTAATCACTTAATAATGAGCCTTATTATTTTTAGTCTAATATGCATTTTTTTTTTTTTTTTTATCAAACATTTTCATAATCATATATTATTATATAACTTAAATTTAAATTCATTTTTCAACGGTTTTGAGAGCTAGTTTTTTTAGCAGATTTATCAGAAACTGTATAAGAATTAAATTACTATGTTACAGAAAGTAAGATTTGAAAGTGCATAATTTAAATAATATTAAATACCTAATAGATATTTTAGTACTAATATATATTTGAATATTTCTAAATAATGTGCAATACCAAAACTTGTAAGATAATTATAATTTGTTTAAAACTCTAACAAACACTATCATTAATGATTTAAAAAATATTTACTTTAAAAAAAAAAGTAGCACAGTCTTCGACAAGATTACCAACTGCGGAATTACGATACCTAGTGAATATAGAAGCGATTGCGTGGAAGTTGTCCATGGTCAACAAATTACGTTATCGAAGACAAAAATATAATTTAATTTAATTGATAACACCTTTTAAAAAATGTTCATTATTGTTTCATAAGTTAACAAAAGAAGTCATGGAACTGTATTTTTTTTAGAATAATTTAATTCACTGTAATGGGTGTGTTCAATTTTAATTTATTATTTCAATATTAAACCATCATTGTATAATTGTATATTTGTGTATATTTGTATGCAAAAAACGATATTGAACGGAGACGGTGGGTCAGCCACAGTGACTAAACTAATTATCGCCAAAAAACATTGCATGATATATTACTATATTACTTGTATAATACTATTATATTGTATTTGTATAGTATAATGATGTCATTAGACTCTAATATTTCCATATTTTGGTTAATATTATAGTGTTTGATTACACGTTAAAAAAAAATCTGAGCCGTTTGGTGCAACAACCAGACAATTAATGGCAACACATGTCAAACACAGAGATAGAAATGTCTGGTTTTCATTTTAGTGCAACAATCAGACATCTCCATTTATATGATGTTATAAAAATGGAATTGTCTAGTTTTTATTTTAGTGCTACATCTAGACATCACCAAGTTTTATTTTTTGGTTTTGAGACCATACAAATTTGATTTTAATAATATTTTCACTGGCTAATACTCATATCATAAAATATGGAATGATGTTAGATCTAAATATATATTTGTTTGTTAATTTTTAAAACATTTCCAAGTACTTCCTGAAAAATGTATATTGATTGGAATTGTCTTGTTGTTGCTTCCAGATCTGCATTGTTTTACAAGAATGTTTTAAATTATCACCTAGATCCAAATGTATAATTATAGCAGCAAGTAGATAGGTATATACATCTAAATAAGAGACACGTTTCATTTATACAAAGTATATATAATGCGGCCACGGGTATTTCCGTTCCTACGATGGCTACATGGTTTAGATAGGTACTTACATAAGCTTTGGGAATACTTAAACTAGCCTTAGTGGCTATTTACTATTCACTTTTTTTTACAGTTATTACTTCCTTCGCCTTTCTTCCACCAACGCTCAGCATCATTTAAATAATTTATTAATCAAATTATTTTAAATTTTTAAATGATCGATATCACTTAAATTAATTTATTGTATTCCTTCTTGTACTTATGGCACAATAACACTACTTTAATAACCCATTACACTATCACTACGTGTATATGTTTATTTATCAATAAACAGAAAACATAAAATATCGCTTTATCTAACACATATTTATTGACCTAAAGTAATGTGCTTAATATACATAAATTACGGCGTATAATACAGTTGTATTAGGGCAGATGGAACATTTTTCTCAAAAACACAATAAGACATTGCAAGTTCAAACCAATAGGTACTTCAAAGTATAAACACTATAAAATCATGTTAATAAATAAAATATGTAATTACATAAAATAAGTACCTATTTACACTCTACGGGTTACTGATGTTTACTATAATTTATGAGCTTAAAATTAAATAATAATACCAATATAAAATGACCAAATCAAATTAAATACATCATAATTTACATTATTAATATGGCAAATACGTCGATAAAATTGATAAATACTATAGATGGTACCTATTTGAAATACTAAATAGCTTATAATCTTAAGCGTGCGCTATTTAAGATGCACTAAATAATTAAATCAATTAGTGTCAAATTCAATGTCAATAAAATAATAATAAATTATATTTATTAGGTACTTAAATATTAAACCAAAAATATCATTATATAATATTTTTTTAAATCAGTAATTCATTTATTTATATACCCATTCATAAACGTGTAACCAATAACACGTCACAAGAACACACCGGATATAGACTATAGAGTATAGGGTATAAACTATAGAAAAATAAGGAATAATAATATAAAGAAATACAACTCAACTAACGATCTTATAAATCTAATATAAATATAAAAAAACTTTCTTAGTTTCTTACTAGTTCATACTGAACGCATTATAGTCGACAGCGTGTCCAATACCGGCCAAGGCATTGAAAAAGCTTAAAACAAATTATTTTTGTTCCAGAATCCAGGGTGAAATAAAATTTCAGCAATTAAGGCTCCAGCACTCTAGAATTGAAGTACACAATGCCAAATGAAATATTCTCATTGGTTTTAACTGGTATCAGGCAAAACATTTTCATTGTAGCTGTTCACGAAGAACAATACAATTATATTTTTTTTAATATTCATTGCAAACTTGCATTTATGTTTGCCTTCTAATAAAACTTATACTTTTATGACTGTAAGTTCCTCTTGAGACCGAATTTTCATCACCGTTTCAGCCTGAGTTTCTTGAAAACTCGTAATTACCAAGTGTGTAATATGAGGGTGTGTAGAAAGTAGAATATTGTAAATTATGAGTTCTGTGAAAACTTTCATTCGAATTTGTTGTTCTAAAGTAGTTTAGGTATCTGAAAAACCGCAAAAATAGAATTCATGTGTAGATAACAAATAATAATCGTACAACCGTACGTTACAACGTTACATACAAGATTTTCAAGAAAAATTCGATACGTATCGCTTGTATACTGCATGTGTAACTTCTTGAACGCTCAAAATTGCTTCAATGAGTATCGATACACTCCAAATTCTTCCTTGAAAATCTTGATACCTACATATTAATATACGAGTTGGCATAAGAAGCGTATGTGGTGGTACCTACTCCTGGTGGCTGGTTGTAAACAGACCGAAAAATTGACAACATTGCATTCGTACTCAATCGAGTTGTTATTAACAGGGACAGTGTTCAATCGGGTTCCTACCAACACAAGTATATTATGCCAACAGAATAAAACCACATGAAACCATAATCCACCCATACTTATATAACTAAAGAGGCTTTTCGTAATAATTTTTAACAACAATTTATAGCACATAATTATGAAATTTTGCAATCAAATTATAATCTATAACTCAATAATCATCAATATCTACCTATTAAGGGAATGGGTTTTGATTATTTTTCATTTCTTCACAGCGCGTAAACATTAATATTGGTTTTGATTTTATTTTTATGTAGGTAAAGAATAAATTAAATATTTATGTTTTTCAATACCTACACCTATTTTAAACACTAAATAGTTAAAAAAAAGAACAGTCGGATTTAGTCAACTGAAAGTTGAAGTTAAAAGCTTGAGGTATCGAAGGTCAAGAGTTTAAAAATGTTAGTTTTAACCAAGTTAGACTTTATATCAATACATGGAATATATAAACATTTGTCAAATTTTATTTGAACAAATATTATTAAAATTAATGTGATTTGTAAAGTACTTTGTTAAGTACTTTATGTCATGTATAAATAGTTTCAAATAGTGTATTGGATATTGTGTGTACCTAATAATACCACAAATATTAGTATCAAACAATAATATTAATTAAATTTTTCAATTTAAATTTGTTGTCATTTGTCAGCCTTATGCCTGTGAAATTGAGAAAGGAATTGGATAGAAATCTTTGTAATATAAATAGTCATAATTTTATTTTAATATAATTTAATAAATTAAATGTATTAGTTATGACTTTGCTGTAGTATATTACCATTTAGTTTATATTATGTTGTGTTTTTTTTTTTTTTTGAGTTGTCTTTGCTACATGTTCTGTCTTATTTAAACCTAAATTGCTGACTGGAGTTCATAAATCATAAGTAAATATATATTGATCCTAAATTATTATTAATAACTATACAATTGTTATTCTTTGTTCAAATATCCAATTTCTTTAAAATCGTGGCAATTTAAATGTTTTAAATTGTCGAACATTTTTACTGAGCCTAAACATTTTTATCACCACTTTAAAAATGTGAAAATGTCATATGACCATAAAAGTAGCTCAAATTTAACCTAATTATTTCAAATAAACAATGTAATGTTATAATAATTAATATTCTTTGAATTACATTTAATAAAATAAAATTGTTTAATGAAAATTGTTATTTCCTTGTAAATAATCCAAGTTCATTGAAAGTTAAACTTCAGATACCTAGGTAGGTACTTATAAAAAATAATTGTGTGATTACACAAAATGTTTTATATAGTTAGATATTGTAAGCCAAATGCATATTGAACCTTGTATACAATTTTTAAACCTTAGGTACCTACTATTATTTGCAAAAATAGGTACCTACCTATCTGATTATCGCAATCAAATTTCACACTGTATTTTACAACTTTAAAAAATTGAAAATACATGATATTTCTTATTAATTACATTTTGAAGTTCAAATTAGATGACATGGGATACCTGTTTAAATAAAAAAAAATATTAGTTAAAAATCCAGGGATCACAATAATTATTATACATCATTATATAAGGTACTTAATTGCAACGATAAACATATTATTTTTCTATAACTGAACAGAATTGAACTCTCCATAATCCTGTAACAATTAATAATATTTTTAGTAGAATTACTTGGATTAATTTAATATTTGAAAATTAAATTGGTAGGTCCATTCAACTTTAAAAGTTAAGCCCTAATTAATTATAAGTAGAGGTCGCCATCACCATTAATTATAATATATCTTTAATTACCTATAAATTATAATACATAAAATAAAATTATTAATATAATTAATCGTGTCCACCATATAAAGTTTGGGTGTGGTGTGGTCACAGTGTTATCTACCTGTAACCTGGCACCCATGAAGCCTTAATTATTATTTTTATGATTCTACTGTTCTACAATCTAAAGATAAGTAATAACTAATAAACTAATATAGTAGTCAGATAATATTTTCAAATTTTGATCAATGTTTATATAAATTATATTGTAACCATTGTACTTACATGTATACATTTAATAATATGATTATTGAGATTAAGTATTGACTCTAGAATTAAGAATGTATCTCATCTTTCAGTATTTAGATACTTATAGGTCTAATGCAATAACAATACAAGTTAAGTACCTACACATTATTTTTATGTAATACTAATTGAATTTTTAACAGCAATGATAAATGGTTTGTAAGATGATTTAATTGAAAACTAAAATGTTGAATCAAAGGTCTGAAGGAGGTATGGACCAAATTGGTATATATTTGGAAAATTTAAACTGCCACTGACCAGACCTTAAACATATGAATTAATTAGGTCATATACCAACTCATGCTTCATAAGCTAAAATTAAGTTATAATAGTTCACTAAAGGTACACAGCAATGTTATTTATATTTTAAAATATACTACTAGGCATATTTTATATAGTAATACTAGCTATGACCTACTTGTGTTAATAATTAGTGGTATAACCAACAAATTGCAATGATTTTTTGATAAGCCTGTAACAAATAGTGAATAAACTGTTTCATTTTGTCTAAAATAAATATTTCAAAGAGAAATAACATCAGCAATTTCTTTATTGAGTCAAAAAAATAGTAATTTATGCATGGCAAGACCTCATAATTGTTGGCCTCTTATGGGCTTACCAAGATAAAATTCAGTTATGTAATAGTCACTCAATATAATTTAAGCACACAGTTAAAATAAGGATTTGGATAAATTGAGAGTATTAAGTTTCTACACAAAAATACAATTCAGTTAATATAAAATGTTCATATATTATATTTTGTTCTACAATTGTAACTAACTCGGTTCATTCATTTTTACTCATAAAACCAATAATCTTTGTTTTGTTTTTTTCTTAATTTTTGTACAAGGTTATAATATAATCATAAATGATTTCCTGCGTATTTAGCACAATTGAAATCTTGTTTTTTTAAATATAATTTAAACTTACAATTTAAGTCGGGTATAAATGTATAATAATAGTGATATATAAATATTATTAAACCTTAACTCTCTATATAACAGCGTAATTGATAGGCTACACACACACACATACATACATATATATATATATATATATATGTATATATGTATAAAATGTATATAATTATTTATATTTAATTAACTATATAATATTAATATTTTTTTTATTTAGTTTATAATAATCAAGAAAAGCGCACCAGAAAAAAAATAACAATACAGAAAATTAAACAAAAAATTAAAGAGTGAAAAATGTTGAAAATAATAAATTCTTTAATTATAATATAAAAAGAAAAAAATAATAATGATTGTCAGTGGTATTATTATTTTTTTTTTTCTATACATCTAGAACAAGATTTTAGTTTTACGTTCATACAATAAAAATAAACTGTGGTAAGCGACACAAGACGAAAACAAATTAATAATAATAATAATTAAAATTAATATAAGTCATACAATGTAAAAAATAAAAAACAAATTGGTGTTCATAATTGTCACGGTACTACAGACTAATTGACTCAACAATATTATATATTTATATATAAAAAAAATTATTATTCTCTTAGGTTTCATTTAAAACCAAAAAAACACTTTACATAACAAATTTATGGTTAATATTTTTTTTTTTTTTGCTTGGTATTACACACATTTAAAAAATATTTTTCATTTTGTTGTATAAAAATAAAAAATTGGGCACCGAATAATAATTGAAAACAATATGAAACTAACTGTCAATCACACACACAGACATTCTCTCATTTTTTATTGCATTTGTATTAGTATTAAAAATTACTTTGAACATTTTTACAAGAAAAAAAATCATTAACAGGCTGAATACTAGTGGCGGAGCACACAGAACAATTCTTTTTTACTTATATTGTAATAATTTTGATGATTATTATTTATTTTTGTTATAGAATGAAAAATGTTTTAGTGTGTTTAGCCACTGGTTGAACATTCAGTCTTGGTATTTTAGAATATCAATCGGCAACTACAAATTACTAATAATACAACAGAAAATAGTTTGAATAATATATTATATGTGCATACATACGTACATAAATTATATATTTTTTTTTGTTATAATATTTTTTTAAAATTTTATGTCAACAACACAATAATAATAATAATAATAATAATAATAATAATAATAATATTAATAATAATAATAATAATAGTAATAATAATTTTACAGACCAAACTGGTTATAATTTAAACAATTCTAAATGTATATGTATATATATATTTATATATAATAATGATAATAATTATTATTTGTTCAAAAGCATATTATTATTTACAATAAATAAATAATGTAATTTTTTGGGCGCATTTTTTTAAAAATAACCTCAAGTAATTATTATATTTGCTTTTTTTATTGAATACATAATCATTAGAAAACCATCACAAAACAGTTTCTTATAGAAACCTTAACAAACTTGTAGCTTGTATGGTAAAATTGCTGTTATGGCAACAAAAACAAAAATAAAACAAGAAAACAAAAAAGAAGAAAATCATCAGGGAGCCACTCGCTTTGGAAACGTATGCAAGAATAACTAGTTGAGATCAAACGAGGTTGTTCCCCCATGGGTATTTTTTCATCTTTTTATAAGATTTTCAATATTCTTTCACATAATGAAGTATTTTTATTTTTTGCTGACCATCATTTGGTAACTTGGGTTAATTATTTTGGTCGCATGTTCACAAATAAGATAACGACCTGTTTAATGAGTAAGGTAATTGAATAATAACTACTCGGTACCTCTTTCAAAACACACATTACAATTAATTTATTATAATATTGTACCAGGTAAAGGAAAATATAGATGACAATAAATGCACTGTTGACATCCCATCAATTAAATCCTTAACTCATTGAGTGGTAACAATATTTATTGTATGCAAGTTGCACAGTAGAAACAGTGAGAAAGAAAAAGAGAAGTAGGAACAAAATGTCATATTTGACATTTACCTTTCTAAATAGTTATAAAATACAATATAAATAATATGTCTTTCAAGTTAGGCTAATAGTAGTTATTTTATACAGCCTATGTAGCTTTGCATTTGCACTGGATTTCATCATTTGTATTGGCCATCAAAAATGATTGTTCAATCATAAACAAAACTATTACTGAAATTTTTCAAAAATTATATTTAAGAATACAATTTTACTTATTAAAAATAAACTTAAAACATTTTTAAAAAGATGGTAAATTTTTATTTAAGCTACATTGGCCGTAGTGCAACTTTCAAAACAATGTGATCAAGTTCATAGTTAATATCACAAGCATTAAATATCGATCTATGTCAAGGTGCCAATGTCTAATGCAGTATTATAAAAACGTTTAATGAGCATCAAGGAAATCAAAGTTAAAATCACCAAACGTCTGTTGCTTATTGTTAAAACCATTCTTACTATCATTAGCGAGTGGCTGATCGAGAAAATCGAAATTGAAATCACTGGGACTAAATGAATTACGGGACGGTAATCCATTGTTGGTGTTTAACATAGTTGTTGGATTTGCAACGGGGGCAGGTTGCATTGTTGTGCTTGGCTGCTGATACTGCTGCTGATGTGGGTTAGCTCCGTAGCCAGAAGTCATGTTACGCTGATACGGATTTCCAGTATTCATTGTTGCTTGCTGTTGTTGCTGTTGGGTGAATGACTGTTGTTGCTGTGCTCGCATCATGGACGGGTGCTGCTGAGGTTGAGGCTGTTGTTGTTGATGATGATGTTGAGGATGTTGAGAGTGTTGTGGGTGTTGTGGATGTGATGGATGTTGAGGTTGTTGTTGTTGTTGTGGTTGTTGAGGAACCATCTGTGCATTAGTAGTCATACGACTCTGGCCACCTCCACCCATTTTAACATTCATTGCTTGGGACATCTGAAGATTTACTGACATCTAAAAACATGGTTAAAAATATAAATCATTTTAATCAATGTTACCTTTTTAGGTAAAAGTTTTGAAATTTGCTGACAATTTTATACATAAAGATGTTTTTTTGGGGGGGGGAGGGGGGTAAGAAATATAGATATAATAAGTAACATTAATTACTTGATTATTTTGTGACTGCATACTAATATTGGCATGTTGTTGCTGTGTCATAGTTTGCTGTCCATTACCCATTCTAGCAGACATGTGCTGCATTTGTCCAGCCATCAAGTGAACATTATTTGGTCCTGTTTGGCAAGCATTTATACTTGGATTAGCACCACCATAACCTGCACCAATATTGTTTACTGGAGTGTTTCCAGCTTGGTTTAAATTTCCAACTACAAAAAAAGTACAAGTATTAGAAAAAACAAATAAAAATGGTACTTTTGACTAGTATCAACAACATTTATAAATTAGTTTAAGTAATTACTTGAGGCTTGGCTAACTGTGGGTCTAAATTGATGTTGTTGGTGCTGGTGAGGTTGTGGCTGTTGTTGTTGTTGATGTGTTTGTTGTTGATGTGGTTGTTGTTGGTGCTGCTGTTGTTGATGTTGGTGTTGTTGCTGTTGCTGATGTTGCTGCTGTTGTTGTCTTGCTGCTAACAATTGCTGCCAATCACTGTTAAATGCTTCTGAACTTGGTGTGACATTTGGTGGCCGTTGAAGATTCCCTGAGCCTGGGTACATCATATTTCTTTGAACTGATGACATATTACGATCATAGCCACCTGCCATTGGACCACCACCACCAGTATTAGCCATTTGTGATCGTAGCATAGGTCCTAAAATGAAATTTAGTCTTAATTTATATCTATAAAAATAATTAAAAAATTAAGTGTTTTCTTACCTGAAGGGGGAATAGGTTGTTGTTGTATAGGTCGTCTAGATTGAGCGCCTTGTGGTAAAGACTGCCGGGCAGATGGCATGTATCCTTGTGCAGGAAACTGGGTTTGGCACATACCCATATTTTGGGCAACGTTTAGTTTGTATTCAGGAGGAGGTGGTCGACATCCACCAGGACCCATCATATTCATCTGGTTCTAAATACACACAAGAATGTTAATTAAATTAAATACACGTTATGTTTAGAACATAATAAATAATGAAAATAATCAATGTGTACATACGGGTGTCCTATTCATGTGCTGAGGTAACATGTGATGTTCGTTATTCATGTTGGACTGCTGTACATTAGTTGGTGGTCGAATATTGGTTGGACTGGCTCCTGCACTGAGCAGTCTAGCACGCTGTTGTGAGAATGTCATACTCTGTGACTGGGTCATATGCATGTAGGACTGTTGTCCGTTGTCTCCGCAGTTGGAATTATAGTATTGCTGCATGGGCGCCCCACAATTTGGTGCTGTTGTCGAAGCGACTGAAGCACTGGTCATAAGTCTGTCTTGGATGGCTTGCGCTTGACCAAAAGCCTGCAAAAATAACAGAATTAGAGTGTCTCAAAAACGACGTCATAACACAATTAATGTGTTAAACCACCCGTTATAACAATAACTAAAATCATTAATGTCATTTTTATTACACACGAACATTTGGAATGGAAAGTCTAATTTTTAACATACATCGTCGAATGTTGCTTTTACGCGCCTCGTAAAACAGCTATTGAACATATTTTCAAAAATGATAACTTGTAAACGAAAACGAAACCGAAATATGATGAACAAACAATAGCCACACCATCTAAATTTCATTGAACAGCTTAAAAAAATTTACTATGTGTCAATTATTCACACATTATTCAAATTTCATGAGTCAATAGTTTTGAACCGCAACAATGTCTTGTTGAAACACACAAGGAAAACAGTGTCAAATGTTTTGGTGTACCTAATAGAAGTTTACCAATCGTCCGTAAATAATTGAATGGGGCGAGGTTTAATGGTCCTCTTATAATTAGTTTTCGTTTTAAACTAATCGTATGCTATGTGTGCGTTATTAAAAAATATAAAAGGAAGACTAATAATAACAACGCTCTAAATTACGCCACGTACCACGTACGTAAACGCTATTACTGAAACAATATTATTATTTGTTTCAGTGATTATTATTTATTATTATTTATTACCCGATAAAAACAATAATTTTATTAAATGCGTAACGTTATATCGAGAACTAACCTCTACACCACGACGCGACGTTCGAAATAAGAAAACACAATAAAACACAATAATGTTATATTGAATTACATATTACATTATTACTATTATAATACACAGCGACCGAATACTGTAAATTGCAATAATCATTGAGCGAAAGACAATATAATATTGTATGTTATATAAGGGGAAAAAACGAAAGAAATGTTTCCGGTTAGTTTCCACGTGAACGCGGGGCAATAGTAACAATAATGGTAGGTATAACGGCGAGGCGGGAAAGGAGAGTGAACGACGACGAACACCAATACCAGGTCCCTAATAATGGGCTTTCGATCCAAAACGCAAGCGCACTTTTTTAATGCAACCGATCGCCACACCACATCAAGGACAGGAATAGAAAATGTATTATTTTTTTGTATTGCACACCTGTAGGAATTAATAAAAGATGGAAAAAAAATAAGTATCGGTATAGGTTTTGATATTCCGCCGGATAATTATCCTTGAATGTCGCTGTTAATTTATGTCAACGAACGAGTGGTGTTGGTGTTAGGTAGGAACGACGACGATTTTCGACCGACAGTTTTATAAAATTATTTTTTTTAATCGCGTGTATAATTTTTTTTTTACTCCTGAACGCAACAGCAAATGGTAGCCGCGTTATTATAATAAATAAATGCAGGAAGTCGACATTGTCTTGCATAATAAGCCATCGACGGCTGTGGAGGTGGAGGTGGAGGTGGAGGCGGCGGCGGTGGTGACTGGTGGTGATGGCAGTGACGGTACCCGCGCGCGTATACACCGCGAGCGCATAATACGCGCGCGTTACAAATATTACACTGTTGCCAACACACACCCGCCGCCGCCACTAGGATGACACTTGGATTTAATTAAAAAACCATTACGCACACGGACACGGCCCCCGCGCGAGTCTTGTCCTATACGTAGTACATATTATGCGTGTTACACAGGGTTTTTGATAGGCTTATAATACACACACGTGTCGGCGACACGGCGGCCGATGGACCAGAGTTTTTTCTTGAGTAATATTCATTTTTTTAACGGCCAAACTATTTAGGCCAAAATAATTAAGCTAATAATAATAATCTTAATCGAACGAGGTGCAATGGGGGAGAGAGAAAACGAAATACCGTGTTGCCGAGTGCCCCCCTCCCATCACACTACGTTCTCCTTCCGCCGATGCCGAAGTCACGATGACGGCGACAGCGATGCGATTAGACATTAGCACGGTCGAAACGTGAACTATTTTTTTCTCTCTCTCGCGTTGGATAACTGCTGTTACTTCATCTGAGAGGAGAAAGCCGACACAGGAAGTGGACTAGAAGAAAAAAATAATACACACAAACCACAGAGCGCGTACACACGAATAACATCGCATGACCCACCGTACAAGACG